ATTAAGGAAATGTTCCATCCAATTATGCTCATAGAGTCATTCAATCAAAGTAAAAAGCAGAACTTCTGTTAATTGAAGCATAGCCTTTCATTTCGCTCTCATTGAGAACAACATATTGTGCAAAATAATGTGAAAAATAAAATCACAATACAAATAAACAATCAGATACAGTGTGATTTATGTGGTTCAGTACAAAATTAGCTGCGTCATTTGGGGGAGGTTATTCCACTATAAATAAGAGAGGATAGAGCATACTGATAAATAATAAAAAAATGATCTATTTATCCCCTTTTAAACAATTAAATATAGTATGATTTATGTGGTTCGGTGCAAAATTACATGCGTCAATGGGGAGAGATTATTCCACTATAAATAAAAGAGGATTATAACATGTTAATAAAAAAATGATCTATTTATCCCCTTCTACGTATAAGACAAATACAAATATTTTCACCTCATCATTTTCAGATGATGGGAGATGGCCCTAATACCAAAACTATTGCATAAAGATGGTTGCTTACATAACAACCTCTCAAAGAGATCAAGTCTCGCATAATTCTTCAAAATGCACGGGTGAGCAATCAATCATGAACCCAGATGTTCATCAAACTCCTACAATATGTGAACTTCTTGACTGGTAGTACCTTTGTGAGCATATCCGTTGGATCCTTGATATCTATTTTATTCAACAGAACGTTCTCGTCATCAATCAAGTCCGAACAAAGTGGTACCTCATATCAATGCGCTTGGTATGGGCATAATAAACTCGATTTGTGGTCAAGAATATAATGCTCTAACTATCACAGAATACCGTCAAAGACTCTTGATAAACTCCCAAGTCATCTGGTAGGCTTTACATTCATATATGCTCCTTCATTATCTTCAAGATTGCCATATATTCAACACCCATGATAGTCAAAGAAACTGTATACCGAGGAATTGAATTGCAACTGACTAGATCTCTTGAAATAATAAGTAGTAATTTTTAGACCTACGACTATCCATATCACTTTGTGTATCTTACACCCAAATTAGCAATAAATGACGGTTTCTCAAACATCAATCTGAGATCAACTATACTCATTAGATACCTCAACTCTTCATAGTCTGTCAATGACTCCATCATGGGCGTGAACTTGCTCACAAAACCAACCTCTTATACAATGTTTGATCAAGTACAAAGCATACATCAAATTGCTCAATACATTAGCATAAAGAATCGATCACATATCTTTCTCTCCTGATCTTCTTTAGGACACTAATTTAAACTAAAATGAAAGTGAGATGCATTGCTCGAGAAATCATCCCTCGACTTTTTTTATTTCCTTCTGAACATAAGTTCCTCATGAGAACTAAATATTTTTAGTTGTTTTGTCCTTGAGAATCTCCATGTATGAATTATGTGAGCTTTCTCAACTCCATCTCAAAATATCTGGAAAATTGCTTCTTCATCCTATCAATCTCAGTCTTATGGATGTCAAAAATTGACCCCACACCAACTTGACTAAGAAAATCTAGGTTGGGATTGACCCAAATAACTTTTGGGTTAGGTTGAAGTAAGATTTTTAAACCCTTAATTTTTGGGACCCACCAATCCAAAATTTACCATCCAACCTTAAATATGCTTGAATTTGATCCGTATATTAAAAAATGACCCAAGTGTGACTCAAAATTAACCCAATTTTGACTCAATTTTGATCCAAATAGTTGTTGCACTTATATTAAATGGGTTAGAAGTTCAGCTTTGAGTTACCCGTGTTTGGGTCAAGTCGAGTTCAAGTTAAGATTTTCAACTCATAATATTATGATCAGGTTTGGGTTAAATCTATTTGAGTTATGTCAATTTTGGGTTGGACCTGAACCCGACCCGCAAACCTAAATTAACACCCCTACTTAGCTGACTCATAAATGCAACCAATATGTCATCAACAAATAGAAACAAATAGATGAACTCACTATTGACCAACTTCTTAAAATATGAACAGTGATCGTATGGGCTCTTCCTGTACTTTTGTCCCATCATGAACTAATCAAACTATTTATATCATTGTCGTGGTGATTGCTTCATCTAATATAAAGATTTTTCTAGTCTGCAACCCAAGTTTTTTTATGCTCCATATCAAGGTGGCTACAACATATAGATCTTCTCTTACAATTCCTCTTGTAGGAATGTTGTCTTCCCATCAAGCTGCTCCAAAATCAGACTCAGCCATGCAACAAGTTTTAAGAGAGCACGAATTGAGGGATGTTTGATCACTAGAGAAAACACATCATTATAGTCAATCCGTTTTGTTGTGTAAAGCATTTTGCTACCAATTTTGCCTTGTACCACACAATTTCTCTGAGATCCTTCTCTTTTTACATATGCTCATTTGCACCCTATGGCTTTTCTTCCGGGAGGAAGCTTCACCAATCTCTAGGTAGCATTCTTTTGATGAGGGTCCATCTCTTCATCCATTTTTTCTCTCCAAAAATAACTAACTGAGTTCTCTATAGCTTCCTTGTAGTGACAAAAACTTTTAGCCTTTATGACTGAAAGTACAAATGCAACATGATCCCTCAACCAAGTTGGTTTTGGGATATTTTGGCGCTTTGTCCAACTCCTAACAAAAGATTCCTTCACAGGGGCCTCATCCTCAATATCTTCTTCTACAATATCCAGAGCATTGTCAATACGTACCTTCCGAGCTACAACTTAATCAAGTACCTGAGTAACAGGGGGCGATTCTATAGAAAAAACGAATTTTCATCAAACTCCAAATTTTGTTGCACATCTGTGGTCCCAATAAAATATCCACTTGCTTTGAGTCTATAGGCTTCAACAAGCTTTCCTCATCAAATGTAACGTCCCTACTAATAATAATCTTCCTCTCCCCCTGATCATAAATTTTAAAGCTCTTGACTCCAAATCTAAAGCCAATGAATATCACATTCTTTGCTTATGATTCTAGTTTATCATTATGCTTGTGATAGCAAATTAGACACCCAAACATACTATGTGCTAATAATCTCTAGGGGGATACCCAGACCATATCTTTTTTGGGGCCTTCTTCCCAATAGTTGTAGAAGATAAACGATTCATTAAGCACAAGCATAGTCTATGGCCTCAGACCAATAAATTTTATTAAACCCAGCATTAGACAACATTCATCAAACTTTCTCCACCAAAGTCTAATTCATCCGTTCTGCAGCTCCATTCTGTTGCGGTGTCTCTCGAATAGTGAAGTGGTGCTCTATATTAGTTCTTTAGAACTCCTGCGAGAATGCATCTGATGTGTATTCACTCTCATTGCCTGATCTAATATATCAAAAAAATTTTACTAGTATGAGTCTTAATTCACTTCTTACAAGTCATGAAAATCTTCAACAGCTATATTCTCATCTGAATCTGCCTTGTCGCACCTCTCCACATCAAGACTGGCCTTCTCCCAAGTGAAAACTCCCTTTTCCTACTTCGTCAATATTAGAAAATCTTTTTTCTAATGGAAAATCTCTAAACATAAAATAAATTGATTTTTCCCAAGAGTGTGCTCGTGAAACTTGTTCCGCTTTTGAGAAGTATCGCTGCTACCATCATTCTTTGCCCAATTCTTATTATTTTCAAATCTGTCAAGTTAGAGTGTCTCAGCTGACTCCATCTTTACGGACTCTTTACACCTTCGACGAAACTCATGGTTTGATAATGATGTAGTCACCTCGCCATAATTTAAGATCTCATTCCTATGAATGAGTGTAATCGTGAAGTTTTCATGCTCATATAGAAAAGAATTCAACAAAAAAAAAATGTATTGTCTTTATCTCCAACCTCTTCATTTAGAATATCAAAAGATTTGTAAAATTATTCAAGTGTTTATCAATAGTAATTTTGCGTCTCATAAAAACAGATTCAATGTTTTATACTAAAACAATTCTCCATACTCTTTGTGAGAAGTTTGCTCTCCAGCATCCACATTTTATGCAGAAGTCTTCATCATCACCTCATATTTAATCTCTTGAGATTAACAAATTCAAGTCAAGTCACAAACACTCGGGTTTCATCTTCAACCAATTTCTTTCTGACATCTCCTCTGAATGTTCATCGAGATCAAGAACTTCTCTATATTCAAAGAGCACAAGTTCATCAAGATCAAGAACTTCTCTAAATTCAAAGAAAACAACGCATCTATAATCTCACATCTCCACATGCTAAAATTCTCTTTGCCACCAAATCTCGTCACTTGGATTTTGATGAGATGTACAACCAACCAATGAATTGATGCCTTTGCCACCACTGTGGTAGATGTTGAAATATCCGATGACATGCTATTATTCATGACTCCACCAAATCTCTAAACCTAACTTGCTCTGATCTGTTTGTTTTATGTTTGCGACTTCGATGGAATCGTCCACGAATCACACCAATCTGGTTCTGATACCAATTGTTGTTCAAATCAATGCGGAATACAAAATCACATAACAAATAAACAATAAAACACGATGTGATTTTCGTGATTCGACACAAATCCGCCTATATCCACGGAGAGAGGTTATTCCACTGCAACATGGGAGAAAGAAAAGATTGTTGAAATCGGGTTACAACTCCACATTAAAAAATCAGTCTTAATCTCTTTTATAAGTAAGAGAGGATTACGACATACTAAAAAAAAAGAAAATGATACATTTACCCCCTTCTACAATTAAGTCTCTAATACAACACAACACAACAAATTTGGAATACTCATTAAAACTAATGAACAACACACATGGAAAACAAATAGGAGAGGTTGATAGGAGAAACCCTTCCACAATGACTAAATATTAATCTTTCTCTCCAACTAAGTGCCTCAAAATCACAGCACTTCCCCCCTTTTCTCATGTTAAGAAAATGAAAAAAAAAAAAAAAAAGCACAAAAGCACAAATATCATGCGTTCGTTCAACAAGTATCTGCTCTAATCATTTAAGCCTTATAATTTTTTTTTATCTTCTCCTTTCAGTCAAATTTCTACAATCAAAACACAACTTTGGGATCACCATCATAGAATCTGCATATTTCCATAACTTCAATCATCAAACTTTGAGAAAATTTATCAACAAATCCGAACCAACAGATCTTTACAGTTCATACAGATGAAACAATACAGAGACATTAATGAAGTTCCTACAACCAGAAAGCTCTACAGTTTTAATCATTCAATCTCTTCTTAATATCAAGGGAAAAAAAAAAAGAAAGAAAGAAAGAATGTGATTCTATTAATCGTGTTGGTTAGGCAAAATCGGTGGTGGAGCAGTCCTAAACGCATGCTTTCTGCAGCGTTGGAAGATACCATCATAAAGGAGATCAAACTGAACTCCTGCTCTCTCTCTGTTAATTATGAAGAAGATGTGATCGGCTTCAATTATTTTGTAGTACCTGAATGGAACCAACATTGTCAAAATTAATCTCATGTTAATGAGTTGGTAGCCATCAATATCATGCTAATAAAACTTTAGTATTTTAATAAAAACTATCACCATACTAATAAAAATCTATTAACATTTTAACAATATTATTATATTGTTAATAGACACAAGACATGTTTAACTACACATCAAGAAACTTTTTGGGCTTTTACATTTAAATGAAATGCAAGCCTTTATACCTTCATGTGCTCTATATCATTTTATTTTTTTTTTTTTGCAGGAAAGGATTTACCAAAACTAGATAAATTAACCTGATCTTCAGACATAGAAAATAAAGGCTTGTTTGAGATCAATTTTCCTTTTTGCTTTTGTTTTTATTTTATTTTTTATTTTGTTTTTAAAAATATGTTTGTTTAAGATGTTCTTTACATGTTTTTATATTTTGTTTTTAAAAAATAAATTAACATGATTTTAAAAATATTCAAAATAACTTCTTATTTTGAGTGTTCTTAAAATAATTATAACTTAATCAAATTGTCAAATATGTTTTTTATTCCAAATGAAATCATAAACAACATAAAATAAAAATAAAAAAATAGAAAATTAAAATTAAAATTGATCCCGAATTGCCCTTAAAGCTTTTTTTTTTTTTTTTTTTTTTTGGGTGGGTGGAATTAGTCAATTTTTGTTTTTATTTTTTTGTTTTGTTTATTTTTTATTTTTACTTAAAATGAAACATATTTGGTATATTATAATATGATTAGTTATATTTAAAAATAATCAAAATAATTTTTAAATATTTTGATTGTTTTTAAAAACAAGTTAATTTGATTTTAAAAAAAAAACAAGTAAAAAATAGACTAATCAAACATGTTTTTAAAATAAAATCAAAAGTGATAACAAAGCCCTTAACATAGAAGATAAAGTTATTTTTAAAAAATGTTGAACTAATAAGAATCCCTTGAATGAAGGAAGGGATTTTATGATTGAAGCAGTGCAACTTCCTCTCTTTCAATTTCATAGATTCACCATAAAAAATTGTCAAACTTTAATTTTTAAATGACCTATTCTATTACTAGTAGATGAAAATGATTAAACTTCAGATTTACTGCAATGTTTGGTACTAAAAATTAGTAACACTTATGATAACAAAAAAGAACTGAGAATTTTATGATATTTCAATAAAGGCAGAACAAAACACACCATATTCCAGGCTGAAGAGGGTAACACTCTGAATCGTCCACAACAAGATGAGATGGCTGCTCCACTGGAAATCGAGGGTGCGTCATAGATATTGTGTTCAGAGCTCCATCATTATCCCACCAATCCTCATCTCTGCAATCAATTTTTTTTACAAAACAAATTTCTGAGCAAGCCGACTATAAGATTTTAATTCTCAATCTATATCTGATAGGAGTGTAAATGAGTAAAGTCAAGCTCAAGCCACCTTCGACTTAAGCTTGAGATTGATTAATCAATCAAATTTAAGCATAATGTCAAGCCTAATTCTACAAGTTTGAGCCAGCTCGGCTAATGAACTGGCTTGTTTAATATGAAAGCGAGAAAATAATATTAATTCAAGTCAATGCTATCATAAAATGACAAATAGAGTGTGCATTTAAGAGATAAGCAATAAGAAATCACTAGATATAAAATATAAAATATAAATTTTTAAACATTATTAATAATTTAAAGATATTCTTGAATTTCAATATATTTTGAATATGATTTGTAAACTGGTCGGCTCACAAGCTAATGAGTCGAGTCAAGGTGGCTTGAGCTTGACTTGTTTTGCACATCAAGCTCAGTTCAAGAGCCACTTATCAAACCGAGCTCGTGCCAGCTGATGAGTCAAATTGATTCAAATACACCCCTAATATCTGCTAATCAACTCACCTATATCCCTTGTATGGCAAAGGCAAATCCGCCGGGTGCCGCCACATTGTCATCTGAAGAACTCTTAAAAAAAGCATTGGGTGAATTCCAAAAATGCTGGATGGAACAGTGAGCCCCATAAACTTCTTAGTCCTTCTAGTTGCATAACTGAAGTAATAAGTGTTTGGGAATGTTCTGAGTGTGCTGTTCTGCTTGATTGTGCCTTCTATAGTGAGATCTGGCAGGATCCAATCACCAGTAGCAAAAGGCCCACTGTTTCCAAGGAGAAGATCTATAAGTCCTGTAATTCCTGTTCTTCTCCATTCCACATTAAAATGATCAAATCCAAAATTATAGTAGTTCTTAAGCCATGAAATGTTAAGCCAGTCGTAAATGCTGACTCCAACCCGAGCAATTTGAAGCAGGCATATTGGTTTCATGAGTTTCCAATTATCAGGCCTGTAATTTAAGGGTTTCTAACTGAGAATCCGAGCACAAATTTTGATGAAAATGGATTATAGATGGTTAAAACTTACTGCATTCCATCAAAGTAGGTTCTTGTTGTTCCATTGAGAGCTCCAGATAAGGAGGTTACACTCAGAATCCAATCTTCAGAAGTGTTCTCATAACCTTGGAATTCCTTGAGTCATAACATCAAATAATTTGAGTGCTTATGCTTGGAATCCTGAACAAAGCTTTCACTTGTTCTCCTCTAAGTCAAATTTTATTTCATATATAGGTATTAAAGTTGATTATAAAGAGAATTTATTTGGCAGTTACTACCTTGTCAGCTAGCATTTGCTGCAAAACACGAATAACCTGCGCCCCTGCGGAATGGCCAACAAAGTGAATTGGATGATGCTCGTCCCATATAGCATAATTCCCTGTTTTTGTTTTTTCAGAAGAATAAAAAATTAAAAATCAACAATATTGGACAAGATGACTGAAATATAAAAATCCTACCTTGTTCATAGATTTTTCCAAACTGTGAGTGGCCATAGATTCTGCTGTGCTCTTCTCCATAGTCCACTCCCCCTCCCTTCAAATAATAGAACAATTCCCTTGCCCTGAATCCAAAAAACTCAATCTTTATAAACTCATCATCAGAGAAAAAAACAAAAAAAAACACAGAAAATACTAAAAATAATTCATTTAACATACCTATCATGAATACTTGTTAGAGAGCCAAGGTCAGGCACAAGCACATGGTCGTCTTTCTTCTCTGCTCCTGCAAAGTAGGACAGACCTCCTAGCCTCTGCAACACAATCCGACTCAACATAATTAACTAGTCGCTCTTCAGACATGGATTTATATTAGAAAAACGGAATAAAAAGCTCACCCCTTTACCAAATCCAAATATTCCATGAACCAAAACGATTGGTGGAACTGAGTCATCAACAGCCGCCTCTATCGATGGCCGTCTTCCATTGATTTCTTCCACTGGGGCGTCGAAGCTTGTCGGTCGAAGGGAGCTGGTCAGAGCCTGTGAGAGGTCCCAAGCAACGGCTGAGCTGAATATGTAGAGCCCAAAGAGGAGATGAACCATGGAGCTCAGGAAGAGCTCGGTGAGACTGAGAAATCCCAAGAACTTTGACATTGAGACTCTCCTACTGTTGCGCTAAATTGGCTCAGAAAGCTGAGGAAGAATAGGGCGATGGAATGTGGATGGAGTAAGCGAAGGAGGGGAAATTGAAGCGATTACTTTCCCTATTGAGAGGGGAAGAAGAAGAAGGAAGGGGAGGCGTGCGAACGCAAGAAAGCAGAGGAAGTACTATTTGAAGTAATATAGAAATCTGGACGTGTCTGGTCGCCGGCACTTCTCCACTTCCCACCACATTTTTCTCGCGTGCGGCTCACCAAGGGCCGTTTGGGGCTGCTTATTTGGTGCGGTGCTATTTGAAGATGTGGGAAGAAGTGTTTGATTACTGGGCGCTGCAGATTATTCAATAATATGATAGAAATTCTTATTAAACGTGGTACCCCCACTGTCCTTCTCTTGCGTCTCCATCTGTCCTAGATCATCTGTCCTAGATGTCTGCCTCTCTTAGTTGTGAGCATGGTGCCTCTCTCTTGCGCTTCTTTCCCTCTCTCCTGTCTCTCTCGCGCTTCATGTTATCTTTCTTTTCCTCCCTGAAATTTCTGATTGTTGTGCGTTGTAAGTAATTCATGTAGTAATTTTCGATGAAATAGTTTTCTTTATGTGATTTTTGGCTTTCTCATTTACATTTTGTTGTGAGACGTTTGTGATATTTGCGATTTGTAACTTTCTGATTTGTCATTTTCGATTTGAGATTTGGGATTTTAGTCTTGCAAAAAAAAATTTTGAAAAATGTGGAATAGTGTTTGGAGAATGGATGAAAGACTTGATATGCAGATAGCAATATTTTCGTTGCCCTGTATGTAACCAGTCGAATATGGGATGGCCTTCTATCATCGCCTTCACTGATTATTGAGTGGGATTTTGAAAAATGGATGAAATAGGTTGCTTGATTTGTGCATAGCATTGCTTTGGGCGGCCTCAAAATTATCTATAGTGTTTATTATTTTTTTTTTTTTTTTTTTGCTTAAATTATAAAAATTAATTAATGAATGCGGGTGCTTAATTTGTAGATCGCAACATTTCGGATGCCTTGTATGAAATTGTCTCAAATGAAAGATATGGGATGAGATTGTATCACTTCCTTTGATGTTTGAGTGAGAAATTGAAAAATGGATGAATTAGGGTATTTGATTTGTACATATCATTGTTTCGGCCGCCCTATATGTAATTGTCTCAAATGAAAATATGGGATGAGGTTTTATCACTTTCTTTTATGTTTGAGTGTGAATTGGAAAAATGGATGAAATAGTGTGCTTATTTTGTAAATAGCAACATTTGGGTGTCATGTATGTATTTGCCTCAAATGAAAAATATGGGATGGGGCTTTATCACTTCCTTTGAGGTTTGAGTGAGAATTTGAAAACTGGACGAAATTGGGTGTTTGATTTGTACATAACATTGTTTCGGCTGCCCTCTATGTAATTGCCTCAAATGAAAAATATGGGATGGAGTCTTATCACTTCCTTTGACATTTGAGTGAAAATTTGAAAAAATGGATGAAATAGAGTACTTGATTTGTACATAACATTATTTCGGGTGTCTTGAATGTAATTTCCTCAATTCAAAATTATGAATTTTATGTTTGAGAGATAATTTGAAAAATGGATGAAAGAGGGTGCTCAATTTGTAGATAGCAACGTTTCGGGTGCCCTGTATGTAATTGCCTCAAATGGCAAATACGTGATGCGGTTTTATCACTATCTTTCATGTTCGAGTGAGAATTTTAAAAATGGATGAAATAGGATGCTTGAATTGTTGTTGGCAATGATTTCTTCAAATTACATATAGAGCACTCAAAACTAATGACTGTGTTGTGGGTTGTGATGCCCATGTTGTGGGTTGGGTTATTTTGGTGTCGTGTCACTGTGGTGTGGTGCATCTGGGATATGTGTGGAGGTCTGTTTGGATGGTTGTGGTTTGGTGGTTGTGGATTGGGTGGTTGCGGTGTTGTGTCTTGTGGTGTGGTGGCTGTGGGATGGGTGTGGAGGTGTGGTTGAGTGGTTGTGGTGTGGTGGCTTTGGGTTGGGTGGTTGTGTTATTGGCTATGGTGGTCGTGTTGTGGCTTCTGGTGGTTGTGTTGAGGGTTAGGTGGTTATGGGGGTTGTGTCATGTGGTGTGGTGGCTATGAGATGTGTGTGGTGGTTTGATTAGGTGATAGTGGTCTGGGTGATTGTGGATCTTGTTGTGTTGTGTGTTGTGGTTGTTGTTAAACTTTAATGTTTTGTTTTTTATGTGCTAGTAATGCAATGGTTAAGATTAAAGAGGTCCATGTGGGCTGAGAAGCTAAACACATATTTTGAGACCTCTATCTTAACGAGGTTGAGCTGGGAAATAGACCCACCACTTATTTTAGCAAGGAAGGGTGGCAAAATATTATGAAAAAGTTCAAGGAAGTGACAAGAAAAGAGTATGACGATCTGCAGCTTAAGAAAAAGTTGGATGAGTTAAAAAAGGACTAGGAATTATGAAAGGAATTAAAACGGGGATCTACGGGCTTAGGTTGGGATCCAATCAAATGGACTATTGATGTTTCATAGGAATGGTGAGCTGAGAAATTGGAGGTAACAGCTTATCAATGAAAAACTTTATTTTCATTGTTTTCTCTTCCTTAATTGTATGAAATAATCAACTTGCCAACACGAAATTCAAACCCAATGGAATTGACCCTGATCTAGAAGAAAAGTTGGAATGTATGTTTGGTGAGGTTGTGCCAACGAGAACTCATGTCTGGACTCCTAGTGAGCAAGGATTTGCAGACATGCCAGAAGACTTAGAAGTCGAGCATGTAACTGGCTCTAATGAATGCCTAAAGCCCAAACCAAAACAAATTAGAGTCCACATGTAGGTCAAAGCATCCTAGGGTGGAGAAAAAGAAAAAAAGAGCTACTTTCATCATAAGTCAAATAAAAAAATTGGTGGCTTCATGCACGAGTGATCCTGAGACTTCACATGAGACCTCCATAGATGAGGCTATTTGACTTTTGAAGGAAACTCCCAAAGTTTTTTAAGACATGTCATTATATTTGAATCCCTTGAAGTTGTTAGAGGACCCGACCCGTAGACATATCTTCATGAAGATGGCCTTGACTCTAGAGTCAATTATTTATGTGCTTTTTTGCAGCAATGATAATTGATTTTGTGTTTTTCCATTGAATTATTTGTATTTATTTTCCTATAGTTTGATCAAATATCTTACTTGGATGTTTTTTTTCTTTCTCGTAAGATCAATATATATGTTATTCTATATTTTCGTCGTCTTATTGTACACTTTTTAATTTGATTTTTGATGTTTTTTAACATTGTTTGATTGACATGTGATACATGAACAGAGCACTTCTTTAGTATGAATTCACAAAGAGAGGTGCAAAAAGATAATTGTGACAACAATTTGTATGTTGTACGAATACTATAACTCATACGTTGATCGAATTCTCTACATGACATCTACTTACGTTGGTGATAAATGGGTTGGGGAGCTACTATAAGGACACCTTACAAGATTCAACAATATGTTTTGTATGACACAGTATATATTTATGGATCTGCTTGATTAATTCCATTGGAACCATGAACTTCATGGCTCCTTAAGAATTTCAACCAGAGATGTGTTAGCAATAACCCTCTACATCTTATCATAGAATGAATAAATAAGAGGAGCGATGTAGTGATTTCAGCATTCATTGAAGATAATTAACATATATTTCTCAGTGGGGTTGAAGTATTTTGTTAGTTTATCGGCACTGATTGTTAAGCCAAAGGATCTAACAATTGAGTGAACTCCAACAAAGATTCAAAATGACCTGCGGTATATGTCATTCCTTAATATAAATCTTTATTACTAATTATATTTAGAATTCAAAATGAGTAGCGTAATTTACACAATTTTATTTTATTTGTCAGAATTGTATTGGAGCGATGAATGGAACCTACGTGGATGCACGTGTATCCAATAATGAAAATGTCGCATTCATTGGGTGGTGTAGATCTCCTACACAAAATGTGATGGTCGTATGTGATTTCAAATTATGTTTTACTTTTATTATAGCTGATTGGGAAGATAGTGCACATGACAATTATATATTCGCTATTGAGACAAGAAATTGGAAGCACAACTTCACTCACCCACCTCCAGATTTGTTCAACTATTAATCATATTCAAACATTTTTTAAGTTCATTACTAGTTAATGTATTTAGAATAGATAAATATTATTTGTTCAACGTTGTATATCCCTTACAAAGAGGGCATCTGAAGTAATTTTCATATCTGAAATATCACACCGTAATTTTGAAAGATCCAGTGGTATTGCTTGGTGCCGAAAAAAAATATTTAACAAGAGACACTCCTCCTTACATGGTATAATTGAAAGGAAATTTACAGTGTGGAAGAAAAAATAGACCATACTGTGTGATATGATGACGTATCCATTCCCAAAGCATGTACAGATTGTAGTGGCTACAATAGCTCTCCACAACTAAATTCAAGGGCATCATTCTCGAACTAATGTAGAGTTCAGCATGGCTGCGATGACCATGTACATGTCCCACCTGCAGCATTTGAATACCATATAAGACAATCTATAACACAGCCAAAAGTAGAATCACAAGAAGGTTACACTCAGGATAGTAAAGGTGTCGGAGAAATGATTGAATAGAGAGAGCAGATTACATACGTCATTGTTAGATGTTGATTGGACGATTCTTATTTATTTTATACTATTCATATTTATTTTCAGTTCCTTATATGTTTGATATTGTTTGTTTGGGTTTTTTACGTATTTTTTTTTCTTTCTCCATTTCATTTCTTTTTCTTTTGGTGGGTTTGAGAGGTCAATGATGAGACGTTTGACCTTAAGAGTTCTTCTAGATGGTTTGTTAGTTGTTGTTGGTTGGTGTCACATGTGAAATCCTAATGAAGGCAAATGAGTTCTTCTCTTCTTTTTGATGTTGCAGTTTTTGAATTTCTTCTGGATGGTCTCTTTTTGTGATATGCATATGTGAAACACACGAGCTTAGTATTATTTGGGTTAAAGGAAACTAAAAACCCATTTTTTACAAGGCTCGTTGTCTTCTTGTAGTGACAAATTTGTTGGTTGGCATTTTGAGTTTTCTAAGACTTCACGTCTACTAAAAAAATGTAATTAATCACTCTGTTTATCAATTTCTGCTTATTATTTTATATGTATATATTTATTTCCGTTCCCTGTACATTTGATTATGATTGTTCGGGTTTTTTGCATTTGTAATTGTTTTTCTTTTCTGTCTTTCCTTTATTTTATTTTTCTTTTGATGGGTTTGAGAGATCCA